GAGCAGACCCTGTTTAATGCACTGGAGAAGGTGTATCAGATAGACGTGATATATTCCGACTTCTCCCAGGCGTTTGACAGAGTTGACAGTAAAATTCTGGAAAAAAAACTTGTATAGTACCTATAGGGTTTCATGGAGCCGTTTGAAAGTATGTAATTGACCACCTTTCAGGTGGCAGAAAGTAAAAGTAGAAAAAACTCAGTCTCATCAGAGATTAACATCAACATCACTTCTGATGTTTTGCAGGGAGAAAATCTGTCTCTTCTCCTATTCAATCTTTTCTTAAACGATGTTGAAAATGTGTTCAAACACTGTGAATTTCTGAATTTTGCTGACAACAAGAAAGTCTTTTTGTCATTATAAAAAAATATCCCTGACTGTGGAAATATTACAAGGGAAATTCGGCAATTTTTTTTTATCAGTGGTGTAAAGACAATCATTTGGCACTAAACATCGATCAGTAGTGCTTAGTCACGTCTTTCCATATCCATATACTATAAAATTCCACATATTTTCAAGTACCTAATAAATGGAAATGGATTTTAGTAGGTACTTGCGAAGCTTTTATTCCTTCGTATTCCATATATTTCACAAGCCCAAACTATTTTGGATATAAAGGATTAAATCAAATCATCTAATGACTTCACATTTTTTTTTGCAAAAATTTTCCTAATATTCAGTTCTCAGACGATTTATAAAGCTAATTTTAGGTAGGTATACTTATAGCCGGATAATAACGTTTGTCTGTATTCATTTTGAACTTCGTTGACCAGTCAGTCATTCATTTTGTATCCAGGACTGGCAAATTCTTCTTGACATATCCTGTGAAATTATTTTTGACAGGAGGCGCATCAACCTAAACAATAATCGCTATTGCGTTTTTTTTTTCTTCATTCGTAAAAAATAATGTACAGGCCTGACAAGACGCCTTATATAGAGATGTCTCCAAAATCCAAAATTTGAAATACCTATGGATTATGTGGCTTATAATATTCCGTTTTTGCTTTTACTTGCCTTGTCAAAAGTACCTAATTATTCTAAAAAGCCCTAAAATGTTGCAGCAGCTTTCATTAAAAATCCTCCTCTAAAAGTTTGATGCCCCCTGCTAAAAACATGTTTAATATCAAACGTATCTTTAATTTTATAAAATTTTCATGCAAAATAATTTATTTCAACCTTCTTGTACAAATTAATTATAATGACACCACCTATGATGGGTGTTGTAGTTGCGTACCGATGATCCGCCATCATGCAAAACGGCACCAAGCAATATTATTTCAAAGGATTAAGCCAAAGTGCATAGACATCGTCCGAATCTTCGCAATTCAAAACCCAGTCAGCCTGTACGATATGCTGTAATTTTTGTTGTCTTGTCTGGCTGGGTACTCTGTAGGTCGTACCCTGCTGTCGTTGGCCTTGAAGTGGAAGTTCACAATTGCTACCTGCCACCTGCCATCGGGAACCGTTCTTTTTCGCTCCGCGCGATGTTGCCTATTAGATGGATTTTTCGTCAGACTTTAGTTTTATTTCAAAATGCCAGCATTTCAGTTCGATTTACAAAATAATAAGGAAAAATGTGAACTTTCCTCTGAAGTGATCCCTATCAAAGCATATTATTCAAGCCTCATTGTTATTCTTATCCTCACAATAACTGATTTGGATATACATACGAAATATCATTCTCGAAATAAAAACCTGCCCGAAAAAGAACATCTCCAATTTTACTTTCCGCTTTCCGTCCCTTGCTTGCCATCTCCTGTTTGCCAAGAAAAAATTAAAGCAGCCAAGGTTTTCGCCAACAGGGAATGCAGGAAGCATTAATTCCTGTTTTTTTTTTCTTTTCGAACGTGAACCTCCTTGTCTAACACCATGTGAAGTGTGTGTGTGTGTGTGTGTAATAATAGCGATGTTGTCAGAGTGAAACTTTTTTAGAATTTTATTTGACGAATTCCTTTTCTGAAGTAGAGTTGATTCAATAATTTTCAATTGCGCTGTACACAAAAAATGCATGAATGCTTGAAAAATTAGTGATGAATTTCGAGAAGTAAACGGTCATATAACCAAACGCAGAAAATTATAATGAGAATACTACAGAATACATGATGAGGTAAAAACAAGGGCCTGTTCTTTTTTTCTGTGTCATAACGTATATGTCCTGTAATATCTTTATTTCAACTTTCTGTGTCTGAAGATGACCAATGACCAGGGCACCGACCGAAGTGCATCACTGATAATAAATTATTTCCAGAATTAATGCTTTTCCTGTGGAGACCAGACTTCCTTTGTAAAAAGTTTTTAGTTAATACCTAATATGTTTTTGTAAATAAAAGTATTTCTCTGGTAATGGAAAAGAATATAACCTTAACAATACGCTGACAAGTTTAAATTTCTAGGCATACAAAAATGTCACTGCCAAGGGGCGCGTGAGTCCAAGTAAAATGACATAACAATACTTTAGAAAAACGTCTGGATAAATTATGATATTCCAGACTCTATAATCTGCAACCGTACAACGTCGCATCTATATGGTCGAGTGCCAGCAAGTCTTGTGTCCTTGAACCCCCGTATTGATTGGTCCAGCCCAGCTTCACTTTCCCTCCAGAATAGCCCGGCTGCGTGCCCCTGGAGCCACCGACTGCCACCCCTTTAGGGAGGTAAGGGCTCCACTCTTCCCGTTCGTAATCCCCCTGCGCCCACAAGTGCGGAAACTGGATATTTCGTGACGTAGAGAGGGGAGTGATTTTTGACGCTTTCCATCTCGCTTTCTCGCAATGCAAAACTTTCTGGATTTCGGTGATATTGGAAAAAGAGAATTATATAGTAAAGGAATAATAATGATTATCAATTTCAGGTCTCTGCAATGTTCTTAGATATTTATGTACATGTTTGGGCTCAAATTATTGGTATGGTCGCATTTTTTCTGGATAATAAGAGAATGCAGGCTGTACAATGTGGCTACTGATTCTTAATCAGTGACAAATAGGCGACAGAGAACTGCGATCGAATACTGACTGGAATAGGTACAGTGAACTTAATAAATTTTTTTTCGATGAAGTCTTAGGTATCTTACGATATCCGTAGGACACTGTTCGTTGGATTCAGTCGCAGCTCTATGCATTTTTTGTAGGCTTTCTTCCTTACCTCACTGATCAGTTGCCACATTCCCACATAACAAAATTGCATCCTTAGAATGTAATGGGAATGTTCTTTTATTAGGAAGAATGTTCGCCAAAACCATTGCGAATGTCCTGAGAATGTTCTGAGAAAAGATTGTAGAAATACTGTTTGCAATACCCAAGAACTTCCTGGGAAATCCATTAGGATATTCCTAGAATATACCTATGAGATTCTCAGTACATCCTGAAAAGAATATTCCTGTTTAATTCTAAAAATATGCTTGAAACGTATATTCTCACATTTAAAGAATGTTTCTATGACATTATAGTTACGTTCTCGAAATAATATTATACCAATATGCTTGAAATATTCTTAGAATATATCTACATATATCAATCTGAATATGCATCCTAGACATAACATTCATGTTTGATTCTAGGGATATACTTGGAATGTTAATTTTCGCTTCCAAATAATGCTCCTTTCAGTTCTTCTATATTAAAGGCAGTGAAAGAGTTGTTGGAAAACTTCTCTGGAAAGCACAAGTGTTTAACCAAGGCTTCGGCTTCGAGCTTGTTATGCTCTCGTCGTGGTAAGCACGCCAACTGAGAGAAACAGGTTCCAAGGTGATTCAAACGCTAGGCAAGATGTAGATCTTTAATAGTGCGTGGCTCCCTCTCTTGGAAGTTCTACAAAGCAAAAGAAAAAGAATATACCTATAATATTCTTAGTAGATTCTAGATAGAGCAATATTGTTAATTTGTTCAATTAAGATTTTTGAGTAGGTACTTTAGATAATTAGGTGAACAATATGAAAATATTCTTATCATGGTTACCTACTTACATATACTTCTCAGCACAACTTGGTAGGTATATTCTTTATACTTGATAGAGATATTAGCCGAAAGAACATTTTTTAGGGTACATTATAATAATGTTCGTATGACAATATTCAAATAATGTTATATAAAGTAGGTTCTTAGCACAATCTTTCAGGTAGGTGCATAGACGCAACATTCCTAGTACATAAATAGAACGTTCACAAATGAATATTTCAATCGAAACAATCTTAGAATATTCATTAAATATTCCTAAAAGAACATTCCAAAAAGCACTTTGAGCGGAATATTCTGAGAATATGAATGTTCTTTCACTGGTATGTGGGTTGTAGGTAGTACTTACCTATTGTAACTTTGATGCTCTTCGTAGCTATGTGCAAACTTGCTGGCAAAAAAATGTTTCTATACTTACCTCCCTGTTTTATTAGCCTTTTCACCTTTTCAAGCATATCTTCCATTAATTTTTTTCCTATTGTTTCAGTTCTTACTGCGCACTGCCAGTCGACTGAAAAGTCTCTCTGAGCACTTCAAAAATCATACTGTAACGACTACCTCAAATCCTACACCTAAAAAGGCTTTATATGTTGGAGGACAATAACGTTCGTTAGTACAAATTCACAGACAGGTAATGGTTAGTTTAAAAACTAATGCATCGAGTGAGGACTGCTTATCTCAAGCTATTTGATATTTTTGGATAAGCTTTCCGCACTTATTCGTCAGAATTTTTTTCTATTTTTATTATAATTTTAGGTGCTTAGAGGACCAATAGTACCGTTTTTAATATAAAATAGATTCGAGTTTTAAAATATTGCACCAGCCAAGAGCCAGAGTTTTTCTCCTGAAGTTATTGAAAGCTACACAAAAATCGTTTGATACTGATCATGCTATGCCTATAGGTAAAAAAAAAATTCTGTATGTAAAAATAAATCCTCACTCCAAGACATTTTTTTTTAAATTACATTTCCTACCAAAGCATGATTTTATTTTATATGCATGTAGTTAGAAAATGAATATTTTATAGTATCTAATAATTTCTCTATTTCCAGTCTTTAATGAGTACAAAATCCTTAAGCAAACGCAACAAAGTGGACTCAAAAGTGATATCCTCAACATGAGTAGTCATGGACTCATAGCAGGCCAGGTGAGTGTTTTCGAAACATGGGTAACAAAAATCAAAGATATCGATAAGTTCTTAGCTCTTGAAAGATACTTATAAAGTTGTTAACCTTTACCAATGCAATTAAGATTCCGATACCACAAAATCTAGAAAAACTGTGTAAGTATTTGTATAATATACCTACCTAGTTTTACTTTAATTTATATGCGGTGAAAAACAAGGATTGCGAAGGATCATAAATTTTTCCGGAAAAAAGTCGAATACAAAATTGTAGCTAGCAACAATTATCAATTAAAACACCCATATTATTTAATATTGAATGTTTCACAGTTTTTGATTGAATATGAAAAGGTATAAACGCCCTCACTCCTCAAAAAATCTATACCTATAGGTATAGGAAGATATCATGTACCTACCGAAATATGCAATATTATGCAACCAAGTAAACATTTTCACATAATCTTACTTAACTTCGCAACTGGCATTTTGTTGATTTGTTTTGATTCACATTTTGAATTTTATATCTACTTGTTCCAAAATGCAAAAGAATACAAAGCTATTTCCATGTAGTTACCCATTTATTTCATTACCTGGCATCGTTACTCTGGCATTTGTATATTTTTTCCCTTTCGTATTTTACGTCACTACTTTTGTTTTGCAACCCCTTTATCAGATTGTATCGAATTGATTGAAAAATATTCCTCGTCTACTGCTAGGTATATTTTATCTGTTAGACATGACATACCTTTATAATTCCAGTTAAATTCAAAATGAGACCCACATTTCCTCCAAGAAAATGATCTACAACTGGAATAATTTTGCTACTAACTCCAATAGTCAAAAACTCGTTCTTTTTCGGTGTCTATAAAATACCCAATCTCGATTGATATTAAAGGTAGCTTGGTTCAGTCAGCCTGTTTTTTTGTATGTGAAAGGCATTATAAGATTTCTAAAATAAATTTTATGGGCTTGAGTTGTGCAATGAACTTTTTCTCTGAAAAAGTGAAAACTTACAGACATTTCAAATAGCAAAAATTCAATAGTTGTTACTCTAAAACACCGTCACAAAAGGAAAATGTGATCCAGTTTGTTAGGATTTTTTGCAAACAACTATCATTGATAGGTACTAATCTTATTGACCAAATTAGCAGATTTATGACTTTTTCTGGACAAACATCTAGACTAAAAGTAATCGAGATTATTTTTTTTTATTCGTTGATATGAAATATATCTGACTTTTTAGGCTATGTTCTCGCCATTTGACACAGACGACTTTCCTCCCGAACCTCCGGCCCCTTCAGCAATACCAGTTGGACACATGGACATGTCAGATCACACAGCTACTATGCTAACGAATGTACCCATTCACAGAACCGATCTTTCCGATGCTACTACCAAATATGCAGTGGAATTGGTGGAAATCAAAAAAGAACCAGATGTAAGGATCAAAATATATTTTAATATACTACCTACTTATGGAAAATTTAAAATTGTACCGCTTTTCACAAATTTCTTTCAGATCAAATTCGAAACACTCCGTTCTTTTGATCAAGACAGTCTCTTGGAAATGGATTCTCACATGAGTGGAGATCACTCCATTGGGTCTCATGAAGACGTTGGCGATTTGCATCATTCCTCTTTGATGGGTTCGGATTATACTCCACCTCTACAAGGCCTTCAAAATAGACTAGGTAAGTTAGGTTAACTCTAAAGTCCATTGATCTCGTCCACACTTCCATAAAAATCAAAGTTCAATCTAATTTGAAAAATCACAAAGTTCAATCCAACTTAAAACCGAGCTTGAAAACATGGTTCGAGAATAGTCTAATTTTCGTTGTCAGATGGTGAAACGCATCAATCATTCAGCTAACTATCTACCATATACTTTAAAACTTGCTTGCATGGGCGCCGGCAGAAAATAATCCAAGAGGGGGCAGAAAATATTCCAATCACCAATTACGAGAACCGAAATAAACTTTATTCAACTAACTGAACTATGCAATTGCGAAGTTTCCATTGCCAAATTATCGATCGTTTTTAAACATTCGTGATAATGGGACTCGCCTTGGGATTCCCCGAAGGATAATACACACCACTAAGGATTGCTTATCGGCCTCGTTTTTGGTAATCGCGCCCATATAGGTGTAGCGCCATTGCCGACGTCATTAACTAAGTCGTCGGCTGTTTGCGCCAGCGGTCGTGGTTTAGAATTTAAATGGGATCGCCCCATTTGTGCTAATGTTCATTTGCTCTACCCACCCGAAGTCGCTGTCGGGCGGGATCGTCGGGCGAGCCGAAGTCCGACCGGAGTATATCCCTTATCGAAACGAATGCAGTTGTCGCAGGAGCGGCTTGTGGCGCAAATGAGTACAGCGTTACCGTTCCCTCTCTTGCGGGTATTTAAAATAGAAAATAGAATTCTATTTCTATATTATTCAAGTATTGTGAGTCGGTGTGGTGTTTTGTTTACTTTAAAAATGGAAAATTTTAACTTTTAATATTTTATTGGTTAAATAATAATTTACTTTAATAATTGAAAATATTAACTAATATCATGGTTCACAATCACATGGTTTTGTTTTTTGATTGAAATCCAAAACTTTTACCTTTTTTTTGCTAGCTATAGGTGGCTGTGCAGGTTAGGTCTATTTTACTTGAGATAATAGACTTTCCTTAAATATCAGAGTTCTTTTCATAGATATATTCATCTTCATGTAGGTTCTAGCAATATAATAATAAAGCTCTCCTTGGTGGGTAGGTATTTCTTTTTCACCTTTTATTATTAAAAAAGAACATGAAAAATATTTAATTTCAAAATGTCTATTTTCAATATCAATTGGCATTTTATATACATTTGTTACAACATGGATTCAACAATAATAATGATAAATTACAATAAGTACCTACTTTTTAACAATAAATAATAAGTAGGAGGTGAAGTATATGTTTTACTTGGTGAGTCATTAAGTAGGTATCCTTCTAATTGTTTTAACTATATCAAACTTTATTGAGTGTTTCACTATTTCGGAACCATGCTTAGTTGTTAAATGCCTTCTCTACTCCTGGTTTGTTTTATATGACACTTGGAAATCCTCCATACATTTGAAGAAAGCATCGTCAAAGGCATATTCGGGAACTGTAAAAGAAGGGATTACTCTTTCTCCAGAGAAGCTGAGAGAAGCAATTGTTTCTCAAACTTTACCTATTAAATAAACGTTAACTAATATAAAATACTATTGTGACTTCTTCCAAGTAATATCCTCACCATTTTTGCAATTATTACTGTTTTCCAAGTGTTTGTTGAGGTTGTATTTTGTAGAAAAAAACCTTAGCACAAAATTCACAGGTAGCACTATTACTTGGTCCATTTTCCATTATTTCCTAATTCCAGGCGCGGCTCCTCTATAAGGTCATTCGGTCAATGACCCACCAAAAAATCAAACAATAAATTTTCAATTAAACATCTTGGATATTTAGTTTTAAATTAACCAACATCACGCTCAACAAAATGCAGAAATCGAATTATTTTGCGCCCTGAACTCGAAAAACGGCGCTGTTTCTCTAAATTTGACCCACCTCATGAGCCGCGCCTGCCTAATTCCCAATTACAATAAATTTATTGAAATAACTATTATATAGCTAATCAATTCTAGAACACCACACCACGAACTATCGATAGTATTTATAGGATAATATTATTACTTAATTAATAATATTATTGAGATAAAAAGCCTACAGAACGCAGAAACAGAAAACAGTAATATCGTTAAACTTTGAAATACGCAAAAATATTCGCGCCAAATATTTTCAAATTCAAAAACAACAAACAAAAAACATGACCTAATTTTCTCGGCTGTCATAGCCATTAACCCTTTTCACGTGGCTCCGGTTTAACAAACCGCAACATACCGCTCAAATTCGGGTGGTAGGTATCCATCACGTCACTTTGTAACCGGGTTAGAAAACGGTATGTCATTTCTCTAACCGTTTTGTAACCCGGTTAGCTAAACCGGAGTTACGTGAAAAGAACTATTGGTCATAGCAAATGGAAGTTCGCCACGGCAAGGCTGTGACAGAGAGTAGGTTGTCTAATAACAAGGTTACAAGCAACGCGTCATCAGGTAGGCGAAAAATTTGTAAAATACGTTGTTATGGATGTTCCGTTTCAGCTGCCGGATTCTATTTACGAGTCGAGTCGAAATTCGTATCGAATTTTCAAAATAGCGATTCTGTTTTTAGATTTTTCAACGTCCGGTACGTCCGGAGCTGTCGTATTCGATATCGAGACAATTCGAGTTGACTCGTAAAATAGAATCCGGGGGCTGATTTGTTTTGTGATCACCTAGGTGGGTTCGGCTCGCTCACTCCGTGCACTCCGAGTGACTCCATTCGCACTCCAGCCGTTCGGGTTAAGGTTCGGGTATTGCTTTTTACCGTATTAGGGGTGACTCCATTAGCTCTGTTCACTCCACTCCAACTCCGCGCTGAATAGCCGAACCCAGCCCATGTTATTATGTAGCTATTTCAAACTATTTTTAATGTAAACACTAACATACTGCATAGTTTAGTTTTGCAATTCTAGGAGTGTTTAGTGTGCGCATATTTTTATGGGTGATGTATGTACACCTGCTAAATTGGTTTAAAGTTACGTGGCAACCTTGTCTACTATCCTTGAAGAGACAGACTATTTTGCTTTTAAGGCCGAGTTCGGCTTTGCACTCCACGGAGCGAAACGGTATGAACAGGGATATCGTGACGGTGACGTCATACGCAGAGTGCGCCCTGAAGTCTGTGTTTTTTTTAAAGATAAAAGTCAAAATGCCAATAGTTGTATTCCTTTCACACCTAGGAGGAGCTCCGGAACAGCTCCGGGGCTTCACGCGCTTATTCCTTTCGAAAAGTGTTTGTTGCACCACGCATATGTTCC